TCCCTTTAGCCTTACTAACAACCTACCATTCCCCCTTTTCCTCCTCTACAACTGCACTAGCGGCGAGCAAAGACTTTTCGAGGAATGGGGGCCGTGGGACAGACCCAAGCAAGAGTTTCACTACACCGGTCCCGGCTGTTGGCATGCCCATTACAGGCGAGACGGAAACAACAGACACGGCCAGAGGGGGATTTGAGCGACAATCCCATTGCTCAATCCCAATAGCGAATTATGCCATGTCACTCAGTGTTTGCGTGTGATTCAATGTCATTAAACTGCTAATTATTCTCATGACTAGAAAAGAACTGTTACTACATCTGGTGACGAAAAGTTGATTCTTGTAACAATGGATTTGGTCTAGTGTTTAAGAGTTTGTGCCGATTCACAGCCAGTCGAGAGTAACAAGCGACTCAAAAGTTTCATCAATGATCTTGTTAAAGTGCCGATAATATAACACTGTGTCGCTTGACATGTGTACTGTTAAAATGTACTGAAAAATCTCATTCTCCTTCATACAGCGATACATACCACACGTGTACTGACATATTGCTGTTATCTCTTATATATGACGCAGGTTGTCTTCGTTCTCAGGATATTGAATTAGAATTTTTTTTTCAGATTTAGATATTTAATGGAACATAAATATTGCTCATTTGTTCGACTGTGGATCATATGTCTTATTCTTGATAACTGATAATCATTAATAAGGACAAAGAAAATTTATTCCAGACTATAATAAAAGCGTATACACTTTAAAAATGTAAAATTATATCGGATATGTATGTATATAAGGGAAAAGGTAAGAGAATAATGGCATAAATAAGAATCGTGTGCACATTTGATTATGTGACTGCCTTCTCAGCATCACAATATATTCAATTTCTCTATTGATTTGGGAGATTCGTGAGCAGGGAAATCTACCAAAGTACAAAAGATTCTTTTTATCCGGATTTTATCCGAGTTTTTTTTTATTATGTTCAATAATCTAACGGGTAGAATTCGTTATTTCTCTTTCAATGGTGCCCTCCAAAAATATTTTGGACTGAGTGTTTTATATAACAATTTTATAAATAGAACAATTTTAGAAAGAGTTTAATATTATAGTCAAAGGGAAATATAAAACAAAAATTTAAAAGTTTGAGTAATACCAGTAATAGTAAGAGACATAAGTATTTTACAAAAAAATCTGATCTCATTTTCTTTCATCCTTTAGAATGTAGGCGATTATGGCTCTCTACAACTACTTCATATTTTTGTAACTCTAAGCAATGTTTGTTCACTAACTCTCCTCCAGTCCCTGTTCTTCCATCCATTAAAACTACTCTCTGTTTACCTCTTCCCTTCTTCCATTACTGTGACAATTAAATTCTCTAAGTCCTCTTTTCTCATTTATGTTCCAGAAAATTTCTTCTTCTGATTCTAGATATAAGTGTCTTTGTTGTTTCCATTTCCCTTAAAACTTCCTCGTTCCGTCCATGGTATTCACAGCATTCTTCCGTAGAACTTCATCTCTGTTGTCTCAAGTGTTCTCTTCATCTAAAAGTCAGTGCCATAAGGAGAGTTGATATTACATAACAGTTTGGCATTCTTTTCTTTTTTTCAAACGTTATTTTCCTATATTATAATACTTTTGTTTTGGCATTTGAATTATCTTTCGGGAGCGGTTTGTTAGTTTATTTTTTATTTCGATTAATTGAGATTAATTTATTTTAATTTTATTTTAATTGTTTTTTTATTTATTATACTGTATATTTTTATTTACTCTATCGTATATTTTTATTTACTCTTTTCGGTTTTCGATTTTTAAGTAACGTATTATTTTTTTTATCGTTATATAACAGTTACAGCTATGCTTTTCGTCCGATTTTTGGTTTGAATTTTTCAGTCTAATATTTTACCCATATTGGTTCGTTAATTTGTTTATTATTTACTTTATTTATTTGGGTTCATTGATTTTGTTTTTTATTTTTTATTTATTTATTCTATTTCGTCTATTCTAATGGCTGTGATTTGGTAATTTGTTCGGGTTAATAATAGACTTGTGGGTATGTCTTGATTAACCAATTGCATGTCAGATCTACGCTAAATAGAAAAGTAAGCTCAGAGGGTGGATGTGGGTGAGCTATATTTCATGCCATGATAAACCGTAACATTGGCAGGCCATCATTGATAATTGCGGAAAATATGTCAGCGACATATATATATATATATATATATATATATATATATATATATATATAATCTTGATATTACAAAATTTCTTGAATAGTACCGAAGAAAGGATCTTAATACTAAAAAAAATTATACCTAAGGAACCTTTCGGCCAAGCCTTCTTCAGAGACCAATCATTGGCAAAATTTCTTTTTATTAATCCTAACACGAACAGCGAAAACATTTAGGTGATTATTAAGTTAGGAAAATAAACTGGCACACGATTAAAAGAAAAAAATTATCTTTTAACAAATTTAGAAACCAATTTCATTTGTGTAAATGAAACAAATAAAATTGATCACCAGCCTACTTTTCTTGTTTATGACGTTTTTCATTTTTTTAGAAGTATAGAAATAGAAGCAGGAGGGAGATAGAAATGGCCAAATCTAGGTCGCATTCTGTCCCTGCTTCGCCAGCAGAGGTTAAGGACATAAATCTGAAACCAAGGAACTTCCCCTCTTCACCATCTAGGACTCCGTCCCCCTCTACTTTTGGTCTCACTTATATGAGCAAAAGATGACTTTCCCGAACAACGCGTGGCCCAGACGGGTACAGCAGATTTGAAGAAACTCTTGACATTTTGTGCGGGGAGGGTCATGACACGTCTCCACCCCACTCTTATCCAGGGCCTTAAAATTAACTTGGATGTCGACGGAATTGTCCTGGATGGACGGATGACGTTGGAGTTGGGTACAGGGAGACTGGGACAATCCGTAAGTTAAGCAAGATGTCTTCCGAATTGCGCAAGGAAAAGATTCGTCGAGGTTCCAATCGCTACATTCGGGAAGTCAAGGTTGACTGACAAGCTGTGTGAGGCGTTTCGGCGACATTTCGAGAGTCGCTTTACCAAGGAGCCTGGTCTCTGCGTCGAGGAGTTTCGTAGCTAGTTGGCTGACTTTCCTTAACTTTGGCTGACAGAAGCGGCTAGCTGCGAGGGAGAGATCACGGAGGGCGAGATCTACGCGGCATTGAAGAAGGTCGGCAGAAGCAAGACACCGAGTCTGGATGGTTTGTCCTATGAATTGTTCTTGAGGCTGTCGTACATCTTTGTCCCAATTTTGACTGTCGTGTTCAACAACTGGTTCCACCTGAGGTCCATCCCCGACTGTATCTCCAGTGGCGTGATCACGCTGAAAAAGGGCAAGGTGTTGGGAGGGATTTAGACGACTACAAACCCATAACTTCCTATGAACGGGAAGCTGTCGGGCGCTTTGACACTAACTCGGTTGGTTCGTCAGTGTTGTCCACTCTCGCCCCTACTTTACGCTTTAGCGTTGGAGCCTCTCCTTCGCCGACTGAGGGTCACAACGTGCAGGCTGGCCCAACGCAGAATCGCTGTACCTGGTGGTGCTCGAGCCATGGTTTTCGGGTAGGTCGATGACGTGTCCATTTTCGTGTCGTCGCGCAGCGACATTGAGGTCGTACTAAAGGCGCTTGAAAGGTACGAAAAGATGACAGAGGCCAAGGTTAACCGCGACAATCTTCCGGCTTGCAGTTAGGTGCCTGGAAGGGTGTCGATCTTCCGGGGCCCTTTGGTTGGACGGACGGTCCTGTCCGCATTCTTGGAGTGTGGTTTGGATCCAACCTCAAGCTGGAGAAAAATTGGTCAGACGTATGGGTGAAGGTCGGCGCGGCGGTTGAGACTTGGCGTCAAAGGGGGTTATCTCTCTCCCTTAGCGAGAGAGCTTTTTAATTCAGTCTAAAGGTAGAATACAGCGGCCTCTCTTTTTGAGGACTGGACGGGTCCAACTAACACCAGTTATCTCTATCTTGTTTGTTTTGATATTTTAGTTTTGTTTTGGAGTTCATCCCCTCCCCCCTCATTTTATATCATGTACAAATTTTTATGTATAGTATTTTATAATCATGAAATATATGAAGGATTGTTTGGTGTTGGATGAGTTCTTGTGGTAAATGTGCCAATTGCTACGTGTGAATGAGTCGCGAATCGGATTAGCAAGATAGTAAGTGAGGACCAGCCTCAACACAATTCCTTCTTTTCGGCCTTATGCCACAATTTTTACAAAATAAATCTACGCTATTCTCTATGCTATCCTCTGGACGTCAGTTTATTTCAAGTTTCATTGGAGATATTTCTAACGGATATTCTGCGGAAGTAAGTGTCACATTTTGTTTACCATCGTCATTGTTTTGGTTTTGTATCTATTTTGTCTTCGTCGTTTGAATTCTGGTTTTTGTTATAGTGTTTTTGATTTTGTGTGGTGACGTGGGTGCGCCAACATCATGGCGGAGCTCCGATCTCCTAATGCCAAACCCACTGAGGTAACCCCTTCGGCGTGGGCAACGGATAGACCCCCACAGAAAGGGCCAGAATACTATAAAAAAAATTAAGAACGAATTTGAATTGTTCATTAAAAGAAACGACGTGTTACCGGTGCCGTCTCTCATGGAAACGGTGAACACCCGTACAATTTCCCTACTGACAACTGATGTTAAAACTAGAAAACTGATTATAGTTAACAGAGAGGTAATGCGATGTGGGACATCCTGTTAGCAACTGAAGACGCAGCTAAATCGCTGGCAGGTTATATCCTGACAACCAAAACTGTCAGATTACAAACGGAATTTGACAAAGTCGAAGGTTACAATATACAGAGTTCCTTTATTTATATCGGGGAACATCTGGGCTTTTATTATTCTCACTTTGGGGAGGTCTCGGAGGTCTCTCCCATTAGAAGCAAGGCTGGAATAGTAACAGGCGACGTAGAAACATTTATAACTCTAAACAGGAAGCAATTTATGGAACTCACAAACACATTGATGTGTGAATGAAGATCAATTTATGTGATTGTCGAAGGACGTCGACCACGCTGCTGGGCTTGTGGGGCCGCCGGTCATCTGTCCAGGGCTTGCCCGGGAAAAATCCGGAACTGCAATCACAACCCAAAAACAAGAACTACGACGAAACGCAGACAACAGAACAGACATTAACAAAAGGTGTCAAAGAAGTAGGAGAGTGGACGGAAGTGGTGAAGAAGGGCTCAAAAGTGGCTACCACTCCCCACCAGCAACAACAGAAGCAACATCAAAAAGGGTATAATAAGACCAAACTGAAACAGGAAGACCATCAGATACAGGAGCAGGAGGAACGACCGGGGGGCTACATACAGTAAATGTCGAAATGGAGATGCCCCCCCCCACATCGGTCCTTATCGTTGAAAACAGTGAGAGACGATGAGGAAGAAGTAAAAGGAGGAAGAAATTAAAAGGCGAGCGGGCAGAAGTAGAGCCGAAAAAGCAACAGAGAAAGACATATACAAAACCAAGGTTTAATCTGTCTCGGCTTCGCCAGCCAAAAAACAAGAAACAGTTGCCCCAAGCAGCCTCTGTTCTTCCTATTTGAAAGTACCGCTGTCCCCCCCTCACAACACATCCTAAACATCACTGCAGGCAACGACAATTCCACTCCTCCCCGTCCTCCTCTTCCAAACTCCCCAACGCCCAGCAACACCTCAACGCCCAGCACTTCCCAACATAGCCCTTCCCATAAGTATACTTGGGTGGGGGAGGAGTCGTGTCAAGTAGTCAGGCAGGCTCCAGAAAGAGACATCATCCCAGAGTAAAGCGCTAAGACCACTGTTTTAAAACGTCTATAGTAGACGGGCGCTCTGTTAAAGACCCCCGAAATTTTCAAAAGGCTGCGGGGGTAATCACATGGATTCGGAACACAGGGAGGGGTCTTAAGGAATGGGGTCACCTTTATGAAGCAAGGGATGCCTTTCAAGAGATCCTGATGGTTGAAATGGGGACTCAGGACCTGAAGAAATTGCAGAATTATTGTGCGGTGGGGAGGGGGGGGCGTCAGGGTTATCCTCTATCCCGCATCATATAAGGCCCTAAAACTGAGCTATCCCACGGACATCGGCGGCATTGTCCTGGATGGTCGCATGACGACAGAGATGGGGACAGGGATCCTAGGTCAGTCCATCGGGATCTTGATTTCTTGTATCGTGCATTAACGTAGAGGTTGCGAAGGATCCTCCGTACGACCGGCTCCGTTTGTCTCTATCAGAGTTGCGCTCTTTCTGGTGTTGGACGCCAGCGGTGAATGATCTCAGCAACCCTGAGTTTTCGCTTAACTGGCGATTGATTCGGAACGTACTACCTCTCAATGATGTATTCTTCAGGTGGAGCGAGGTAGGTTTGCTAGGCTAGGCGTGACTTGGCTTAGAGGAAACGGCTTCGCACGCCTTCTACCATTGTCCTCGGGTGCTCCCCTTCTGGGATTATGTTGGTGAGTTGACGGCTCGTATCGCTCCCGAGCAGTACATGTCCATTGATCTCGCGTACGCGTGTGACAATGTGTCGCCTCCGTTCTCAGGTTCTCGGATGGTGTTTTTACGTTGCTAGCCGTGGCTAGAATGGTCATGTGGACGTCGCGAAAGGAGGGAATCTTGCAAGATGAACGTTATTCGCATCCTGATCTGGTTGTTTTCCTTAAGCATCAGCTTAGGGTAAAAATCAAATCTGATAGAAAGCGTTTGATTTCGACAGTTTTCAGCAGAAGGTGGGTGACTGAGGCGAGCCTGGTTCGTGTGGACGGAACTAGCCTTGATTTTCTCTTTTACGTCCACTTGACGCAACGGGGCGGTTTCCTGTGAACGCTCCCCTCGTCATGTTTTCCTAGTTAATGTGAATAAGTGTTGTTCCCGGCCTGTTTCCCGGCATTCTCTTTTATTATGGCCCATGTTGAAATTCTCAACCTCCCAAGTTTGTTTTTGTCCCCCATTTTTCATCTCGACAGGGTCAGCCTTTGATTTTCCCCATTCCGTTATTTATTTCATTGGTGAGTGTGCTTCTTGATTCTCTCTGTCGACGGAATACAGCGACACTCTTATTATTTTGAGGGGTGGACGGTTCCTAATAACATTGTTTTATTTTAGTTTTATCTTTTGTTTACATTTTGAGTTTGTTTTCTGCGTTCATCCCTCTCTCATCATTTTATGTTTCATGGAATTTTTATATACTTTTGTAAAGAGACTTTATGAACATTATAAATTTTTACATCATAGGGTGTTTTGTAGGTCCCTTGTGAATATGTGGTATTGTGGTATATATAGGATTGGGAGGTGATGGAGAAGTTCTTGTGGTGATTGGGTATATTGTATTGAAAGAATGGGTCATGATTGTGGTTAACTAGGATAGTCAGTGAAGGACCAGTCTTTCCCCATTTCTCCTTCAGCCTTGTGCTAAAATTTTGTATTTTTACAAAACAAATATTTTAACCACTATACTATTTATCTATACTGATCATTATACGAATTACTATTCGGCGATTACTATTTGAACAAGATTTACTAGTGCGAATATTATTTGAGGGCGTTACTATTACCAGTATCTGCGTTTACAAAGTCTCGTCTACAACGAGCATTTCTGATTTGATAACGAGCATTCGTTGATCTAATGAACATCACAAATGTGGCGACGAGGATTCATTCAACTTACACGAGGATTCGTTCAAGTTACACGGACGGAAAAATTAATCTGCAAAACATATGCAGCAGAAAAATGGAAATATGGTTCAACTGTTTCAACAACAAAAACTGCAACAGGAACAACAGTTGCAGCAACAAAAACAGCAACATGAACAGCAAATGCAAATACAATTACAGCAACAAAAGTTTTTCGAGTTGTTCACTAAAACTATGGAAACAAAATTTTCAGATTCGTTCATTCCTGATGCTGTCGCAAATTCAATCACCGAGGATATGAAGGAATCTTCAAAAGGGATTTTGTTCGCAGTGAAAAGGTGAAAAATTAACTCTCCAGAGACTAGCGGAAGAGTGCCAACGTATTATGAATTTGAAGCTCGATACCGCGAGGAAGAAAAACAATTCACAGGTACATTGTGTCCAACCAACTAAGAGGAAAAACTACAAACTAATAGACTATAAACTCTCCACAATACCTAATATTTGCTACGACTGTGGAGGTAAGCATTTTAAGAGTGATTGTTTCTTCAAAAACAAAAAATACTACGAGTCTGGGAGATTAGGACAGAAAAGTGCGTGTTATAGATTCAAAAAATGGAGAAAAATAGAACGCCTGTGAACAGAATAAATACATGCAGTAACGATAAGAAACCTAAAAGGCAAATTAACAACACTTCGCAAAAGAAGAAATTTGTTTTCGGACAAATTAATGATGTGAAAATAAAATTGCAATAAGACACAGGATCGGATATCACTATTATAAACGAACAGACTTGGAGGAAGATGGGTAAACCCAGTTTATTAAGTTCTGATAAAGTTACTTATGGCGTCTTAGGAAAGAAATTAAACTTTTTGGGTAAATTCAGCTGTAACGTTTCTTTTCTCAGAAAATCCAGAAGAGAGGCTGTGTTTGTGTTGAAAAATACTGCTAATTTTTTTGGTACAGACTGGATTGCATTGTTTAATCTGTGGAATCTCCCCAATTAACTCTTTTTTGCAATAAGATAAATATTGTTACCAGTAATAATACAGCAACTGAAAAATTCAAAAGTAAACTGAAAAAGAGTTTAAATCAAAAATGAGTGCACCTTTTGCGGCTTTAAATCCAATCAACAGTGAATTGGACACTCTAGATAAATTAGGAGTAATATCAAGAATAGACTATTCCGAATGGGCATCACCAACAAAGAAAGGGAATAATAAAATCCGCGTGTGTGATAATTTTTCGACGGGATTAAATGAAAGATGGAGGTAATTTTTTCTCCAAATTGGACCTCTCAGGCGCATACCTACAAGTACTTGTGGACGAAGAATGGATAAGAATATAGAAAATTTTGTGAAATCTGGCAGCGAAGTTACCGCCTTTCAAAGTTCAACTTTGGCCAACAACCGATATATCATGTTCTAGAATACATATTGACTTTGCAGGACCAATAAACGGAGCGTACTATCTAGTAGTAGTCGATAGTTATACTAAATGGCCATAAGTACCAAAATGCAGTAACTATAAATTTCATTTCTTGCGAGGTTCGTGTCGGATAACGGAACACAATTCACGTCTAGTGAATTAAAATTTTCAGGATGTATCATCGGGGAAAGGAATTCTGACAAGATGGCGTCATTAAAAAATGTATCGGCAGAATGACGTACATTGTATAGGAAGAGACGCCTGAATCAGCTAAAACGTCCATTCACTGAATTAAAAAATCCCCGAACAGAAGTAGCAATGGAAATTCTGTACGATACATTTAACTTACCTACACATTAGAAATAGTTCAATCAAGAGTTTATGGCAAAAGGAAAAGCATGACAACAGAGTTTCTAACGATCGAAACCAAAAACCAAAACTGAAAAAGTATAGACTCCAGGGGAAGTCATCTCAAAGGGGAAGTGTTGTATAGGAATAAAGTGTCTTTGCCGACACTGTAGTTTGAACACAGATCACCAGTGAGCAAACACGGACGATTTCATTATTAAATAAATAGATCACGTGATTGTATAGGAAACGTATAAATGGGAATTAGCGTGACGTCTAAGTGATCGTTATTCTCGATCCACTATATTATTTATCTATACTGATCATTATACGAACTACTATTCGGCGATTACTATCTGAACAAGATTTACTAGTGCGAGTATTAGTTGAGGGCTTTACTACTACTACAACTACTGTATTTACAAAGTCTCGTCTACAACGAGCAATTCTGTAGTGATAACGTGTATTCGTTGATCTAACGGAAGTTACAAGTGAGCGTCTAACATCACAAAACTAAACAAGTCACAAAGTCAGTACAGCATTTTTTCTATGGAGCTATTAACAATATACCATTCCATCAAACATTTTCAACATCTGGAGAGCAGAGACTTTACCATATATACAGGCTATAAACCATTAATCAGTGGTTTCTAACTGGGGGTGCTCGCACACACTGGGGGTGCTAGATTACCTTTCAGGGGATGTGAAACCTTGGATTTGGCAATTTAGCAAAAATAATAAATAAAATTAAATGTTTAAACTTTAATGGTTAAACATTCAAATGTATTTGTTTCTTTTTACTGATACCTTTAACCATTTTAACAATAGCAGAAGAGAAAACGACTCTTTTTTTTAAATTAACCAGTGTAACAGTAATAAGATAATATGGATAGCATTCAAATTTACAACTGAAAATAGGCGGCAGTGGTTCCTGCCAGCTACTGTTTATAGTCAGGTTGCCAAGGGGGGATGAGCCTCTTTTTTTCCTTTTTTTTTTTTTTACTTCATTAAGTTCAGAATTATTTCTTGAATCCAAATTTGATGGGTGCCGAATTCTACTATATTAGTTATTACACTGGTGATTATATTGAAATTAGTTATTATATTGGTGATTATATTGAAGTTAGATATTAGATTGGTGAGTTATCCATCTTTTCTATCTCTTACATCGGTGTCTGTACTAATTCGGTATACATTTTCGATACTTAAGGTTTAAAATGAATTTTAAAAAACGAAAAAGCATTCTTGAAGATTTAATTGTGGCTTTAATTGAAAGCTAAAGGATTAAATTTACTATTTCCAGTCAGTAAAATATCCTGGTGTATTTTGAATCAAAAAAATTATGTAGGTAGGAATCTCAAATTTAGCAAATTTA